TAAGTGTGTGTAGGTGTGTGTGTGTCTCTCTGTGTGTGTGTGTGTGTCTGTATGTGTGTGTGTAAGTGTGTGTAATGTGTGTGTGTGTAAGTTTGTGTGTGTGTGTGTGTGTGTGTAACATGTAAAGTAATGCTATTATTCTCATAATTAATCCCTCAGAGAATCTTCTAATACATTTTTGTGATTTTCTGCTGCAACAGTTTTACAGTTTGAGGCTAAACACATTCATTGTTTTTATTTTGACTATTTATTATTATCATCATAGATACAGTCAAACCTCCGAGGGACTCCGAGGCGCTCCGAGGGGCTCAGAGGGGCTCAGAGGGGCTCAGAGGCGCTCCGAGGCGCTCCGGGGGGCTCAGAGGGGCTCCGAGGCGCTCCGAGGGGCTCAGAGGGGCTCAGAGGGGCTCAGAGGCGCTCCGAGGCGCTCCGGGGGGCTCAGAGGGGCTCCGAGGCGCTCCGGGGGGCTCAGAGGCGCTCCGGGGAGCTCAGAGGCGCTCCGGGGCGCTCCGGGGGGCTCAGAGGGGCTCCGAGGCGCTCCGGGGGGCTCCGGGGCGCTCCGGGGGGCTCCGAGGGGCTCAGAGGCGCTCAGAGGCGCTCCGAGGGGCTCCGAGGCGCTCCGGGGGGCTCAGAGGCGCTCCGAGGGGCTCAGAGGCGCTCCGAGGCGCTCCGGGGGGCTCAGAGGGGCTCAGAGGCGCTCCGGGGCGCTCCGGGGGGCTCAGAGGGGCTCCGAGGGGCTCAGAGGGGCTCAGAGGCGCTCCGAGGGGCTCCGGGGCGCTCCGGGGGGCTCAGGGGCGCTCCGAGGGGCTCAGAGGCGCTCCGAGGCGCTCCGGGGGGCTCAGAGGGGCTCAGAGGCGCTCCGGGGGGCTCAGAGGGGCCCCCGGGGCGCTCCGGGGCGCTCCGGGGGGCTCAGAGGGGCTCAGAGGGGCTCAGAGGGGGACTCAGAGGGGCTCAGAGGCGCTCCGGGGGGCTCCGGGGGGCTCAGAGGGGCTCAGAGGCGCTCCGGGGGGCTCCGGGGCGCTCCGGGGGGCTCAGAGGGGCTCCGAGGCGCTCCGGGGGGCTCCGGGGCGCTCCGGGGGGCTCAGAGGGGCTCCGAGGCGCTCCGAGGGGCTCATAGGCGCTCCGAGGGGCTCATAGGCGCTCCGAGGGGCTCAGAGGGGCTCAGAGGGGCTCAGAGGGGCTCAGAGGCGCTCCGGGGCGCTCAGAGGGGCTCAGAGGCGCTCCGAGGCGCTCCGAGGGGCTCATAGGCGCTCCGAGGGGCTCCGGGGGGCTCAGAGGGGCTCAGAGGCGCTCCGGGGGGCTCCGGGGGGCTCAGAGGGGCTCAGAGGCGCTCCGGGGCGCTCAGAGGGGCTCCGAGGCGCTCCGGGGCGCTCAGAGGGGCTCCGAGGCGCTCCGAGGCGCTCCGGGGGGCTCCGGGGCGCTCCGGGGGGCTCCGAGGGGCTCAGAGGCGCTCCGGGGGGCTCAGAGGCGCTCCGAGGCACTCCGAGGGGCTCAGAGGCGCTCCGGGGGGCTCAGAGGGGCTCCGAGGCGCTCCGAGGGGCTCAGAGGGGCTCAGAGGCGCTCCGGGGGGCTCCGGGGGGCTCAGAGGGGCTCAGAGGCGCTCCGAGGGGCTCCGGGGGGCGAAGCAACACTTACTTCACGAGTCAATACAAAAGAGAAACAGAGGTCGTTAGAAAGCTTTAATCTGAGTGAGGACTAATGGACTGTCGGGGAGTCACGATAAGGACCAGATTTACAAACTCAAATGTAGAACAACATACAAACATTAAATATATACAAATTATAATGTGATGAGCAATAAAAATATAAAAGTTAAAATTAATTAAAATATATTATTAGGTACAATTATTGGGGTTTTGATTGAGCCTGATGTAAACCTGATATGTGTTTGCAGACATGCTCGTGCAGATTTAAACTCTTTCACTTCTTTTTCCTCCTGATCCTCCGCCCCAGAGAGAAGAAATACATTCATCAAAGAGCTTTAAGAGCCGCCACTTTATTTAAGCTGCTCCACCTTCAAGGCTTTTTACTTTTGAATCACAAACTTTCAAGGATTCCTGGGAAGTCCCTGAGGCCGTTTTTATTATTCAAATCCTCCGTCAGATCTGTGTCCCGTCCGTTTATCCTGCAGCGCTTCTCTGAGAGGACAGAATGCGCTTGATTTGCAGATGGATTGTGACTAGAATTCATCAAAAGGACTATGAGGGGATTTCATCGTGTTGTAATGCAGAACGTGTGACTCGGGGTAAAAAGGGCAAAATAGGCATCTGAATGTTAGTGTGAGGGAAACAGCTGATAATTAAGATATCTGCCTAAAATTCATCCATCAAATAAGGAAGAGGAGTATCAGATGTTGTTCTTGATTTAAAGTAGAAGTACTCAGATATGGTACTTGAGTAAAAGTAGAAGTACTCAGATCTTGTACTTGATTTAAAGTAGAAGTACTCAGATATGGTACTTGAGTAAAAGTAGAAGTACTCAGATATGGTACTTGAGTAAAAGTAGAAGTACTCAGATCTTGTACTTGATTTAAAGTAGAAGTACTCAGATATGGTACTTGAGTAAAAGTAGAAGTACTCAGATCTTGTACTTGATTTAAAGTAGAAGTACTCAGATATGGTACTTGAGTAAAAGTAGAAGTACTCAGATATGGTACTTGAGTAAAAGTAGAAGTACTCAGATCTTGTACTTGATTTAAAGTAGAAGTACTCAGATATGGTACTTGAGTAAAAGTAGAAGTACTCAGATCTTGTACTTGATTTAAAGTAGAAGTACTCAGATATGGTACTTGAGTAAAAGTAGAAGTACTCAGATATGGTACTTGAGTAAAAGTAGAAGTACTCAGATCTTGTACTTGATTTAAAGTAGAAGTACTCAGATATGGTACTTGAGTAAAAGTAGAAGTACTCAGATCTTGTACTTGATTTAAAGTAGAAGTACTCAGATATGGTACTTGAGTAAAAGTAGAAGTACTCAGATCTTGTACTTGATTTAAAGTAGAAGTACTACTGCTGCTACCCATAGTACTACTACTACTTCTACTGCAACAACAGCTACTAATACGACTAGTACTACAACATATACTACGACTACTACTACTACTACTACCACTACTACTACTACTAACACTACTACTACTTTTACTTGAGTAGATACAAGTAGAAGTACTCAGATCTGCTACTTGAGTAAAAAGTGAAGTACTCAGATGTTGTTCTTGATTTAAAGTAGAAGTACTCAGATATGGTACTTGAGTAAAAGTAGAAGTACTCAGATGTTGTTCTTGATTTAAAGTAGAAGTACTCAGATATGGTACTTGAGTAAAAGTAGAAGTACTCAGATATGGTACTTGAGTAAAAGTAGAAGTACTCAGATCTTGTACTTGATTTAAAGTAGAAGTACTCAGATATGGTACTTGAGTAAAAGTAGAAGTACTCAGATCTTGTACTTGATTTAAAGTAGAAGTACTCAGATATGGTACTTGAGTAAAAGTAGAAGTACTCAGATCTTGTACTTGATTTAAAGTAGAAGTACTACTGCTGCTACCCATAGTACTACTACTACTTCTACTGCAACAACAGCTACTAATACGACTAGTACTACAACATATACTACTACTACTACTACTACTACTACTACTACCACTACTACTACTACTAACACTACTATTACTTTTACTTGAGTAGATACAAGTAGAAGTACTCAGATCTGCTACTTGAGTAAAAAGTGAAGTACTCAGATGTTGTTCTTGATTTAAAGTAGAAATACTCAGATCTTGTACTTGATTTAAAGTAGAAGTACTACTGCTGCTTATACTACTACTGCAACAACAGCTACTAATACGACTAGTACTACAACTTATACTACTATTACCACTACTACTACTACTTTTACTTGAGTAGATACAAGTAGAAGTAGCCTACTCAGATCTGCTACTTGAGTAAAAAGTGAAGTACTCAGATCTTGTACTTGATTTAAAGTAGAAGTACTACTACTACTACTACCCATAGTACTACTACTACTTATACTACTACTGCAACAACAGCTACTAATACGACTAGTACTACTACTTATACTACTACCACTACTACTACTACTACAGCTAGAGATGTCCCGATCCGGTCACGTGATCGGGGATCGGAGCCGATCACGTGATTTTCAAAAGATCGGAATTAGGAGAAAAAAATCGGGGATCGGGAATTTTTTGAATTTTTTGATCAAATATTTGTATTATTTTATTTAATGTTACAAAACAAAAATGACCATGTTCACGTCTTAAAGTCATCCTGAGGCCTTAGTTTTTGCTTATTTCTCTCAAATCTGGCAACAGAGTGGGCGCAGTGTCTAATAGTAGCAGCAAGCTAACGAGAGGCTACGTTCAGCTGGTGACTCGGGAGTCGGGTCAGAGAAAATGCCAGGAGTTTGGAAGTATTATAAAATTGAAAGTGAAGGCAGTGTAACAGCCAGATGCAATGCTTGCAAGGCGGAGGTTCCACTTGGTGGAAAGAACAGAGCTACGTTCAACACGACCAATCTAATACGCCACCTGAGAAACAAACACCAACAACACGGCGAGTACACAGCGGCCACTCAGGGAACGGCACTGAAACAACCGACACTTTAGAGACTTTCAAAAGGAAAGAGAAACTGCCCCAGAACAGTGAAAAGGCCAAAAAAATAACAGCAAGAGAGCTGAATCCATCGCGTTGGATGGCCAGCCGTTATCTGTTACCTTTTTTTTCTCTTAATGCATTGCATAAAGGTTGGATCGGGAAAAATCGGTATCGGCAGATTGTCAAAATCAAATGATCGGAATCGGATCGGGAGCAAAAAAAGGTGATCGGGACATCCCTAACTACAGCTTATACTTCTAATGCAACTACTGTACAGCTACTACTACTACTACTACTACTACTACTACTGCTACTACTACTACTACTACTGCTACTACTACTACTACTACTACTACTACTACTACTACTACTACTACTACTACTACTACTACTACTACTACTGCTACTACTACTACTACTACTACTACTACTACTACTACTACTACTATTACTACAACAACAACAACAACAACTACTACTACTACTTTTACTTGAGTAGATACAAGTAGAAGTACTCAGATCTGCTACTTGAGTAAAAAGTGAAGTACTCAGATGTTGTACTGGAGTAAAAGTAGAAGTACCAGAGCGTAGGAATACTCTGTTACAGTAAAAGTAGAAAAGTATTAGCATCAAAATATAGTTAAAGTAGCTAAAGTAAAAGCTGGTAGCTCCCAATCTCTCCAACTTTTTTTTACGAGGTTGCATAAATAAGAAATGTTCTGATCAAAAAACAACACATCTCTCCAGTGTGTGTTCCTTTCCTGGAGAGGTATGAGCATGATAATGAATCCCTTTATTAGTAGTGGGAAGGTGTTGCAGCAAAGGTGGCAAAGCAACCTGTTATTAAAGGCCTGCAGTAGTGAAGCTAACTTAGTGAAGTCACACAGATGTCCCTTCCTCTGAAACGTTTCCTCTCCATGTTGTATCTGTTGTTAGCAGTCGCAGCATGTCCTTGTTTCCACAGAGTCTGCTTCAGTCTGATATCTACTGCCGGCTGCCTTCATGTCAAACTTTTTTATTTATAGTCCGGGGAGTTGACCAAGCGTAAACACTTTCTCTGTCAGAACCGCTTCGGATTGATTTTTCAACTCGAGCTTTGGCTCTCACGTTCAGGTCACAATCTGCCTCTGTTCTTGTGTTTGTCTTGGAAACAATCCCACAGTTTCCCAATGAAATCAAAATGTGAAATGACAACGTGGCAGATGGTGGAGAATTAAATTAAACCCACATTAGGAAGCAATTTATTTCCCTAAGTGGAGTCATCTCAAGGTCCTTATCAAGTTTGGCCTGCTTTAAATGCTCTTTCTTATCTTTGGTTACATCTACTGTCACTTGTATAATACGATAATGAAATATACACGAAAAATCAGCAGGAAGTAAACGAAATAATTACCCCTAAACAAGTGTCTAAAAGAGACGACTCAACATCATCACACACAACATTAGCCACCTTTAGCTTAGCGGTGGTGACGTGAAGTCATGTGACCGTGCTGTAGTTCCTTTATAGCCCAACATTAGCCACTGTTAGCTTAGCGGTGGTGACGTGATGTCATGTGACCGTGCTGTAGTTCCTTTATAGCCCAACATTAGCCTCCTTTAGCTTAGCGGTGGTGACGTGAAGTCGTGTGACCGTGCTGTAGTTCCTTTATAGACCAACATTAGCCTCCTTTAGCTTAGCGGTGGTGACGTGAAGTCATGTGACCGTGCTGTAGTTCCTTTATAGCCCAACATTAGCCACATTTAGCTTAGCGGTGGTGATGTGAAGTCATGTGACCGTGCTATAGTTCCTTTATAGCCCAACATTAGCCACCTTTAGCTTAGCGGTGGTGACGTGAAGTCATGTGACCGTGCTATAGTTCCTTTATAGCCCAACATTAGCCACATTTAGCTTAGCGGTGGTGATGTGAAGTCATGTGACCGTGCTGTAGTTCCTTTATAGCCCAACATTAGCCACCTTTAGCTTAGCGGTGGTGATGTGAAGTCATGTGACCGTGCTGTAGTTCCTTTATAGCCCAACATTAGCCACCTTTAGCTTAGCGGTGGTGACGTGAAGTCATGTGACCGTGCTATAGTTCCTTTATAGCCCAACATTAGCCACATTTAGCTTAGCGGTGGTGATGTGAAGTCATGTGACCGTGCTGTAGTTCCTTTATAGCCCAACATTAGCCACCTTTAGCTTAGCGGTGGTGACGTGAAGTTATGTGACCGTGCTGTAGTTCCTTTATAGCCCAACATTAGCCACATTTAGCTTAGCGGTGGTGATGTGAAGTCATGTGACCGTGCTGTAGTTCCTTTATAGCCCAACATTAGCCACCTTTAGCTTAGCGGTGGTGACGTGAAGTCATGTGACCGTGCTGTAGTTCCTTTATAGACCAACATTAGCCTCCTTTAGCTTAGCGGTGGTGACGTGAAGTCATGTGACCGTGCTATAGTTCCTTTATAGCTCAACATTAGCCACATTTAGCTTAGCGGTGGTGACGTGAAGTCATGTGACCGTGCTGTAGTTCCTTTATAGCCCAACATTAGCCACCTTTGGCTTAGCGGTGGTGACGTATTAGAACGAAATCTAAAATGAAAATTGTAAATAAGCCATCTGTATGTCTTATATGTCTTAAATGATATGATGAATTGGAAATGGGGGACCCTGATGTAAACAAGACGAAAGTCTTTCTCTGGTCTGCATCCCCTTAACAATTGTATGTTTTGAGCTGTACTGTACTGTACCCAATATACAAGCTGTTAATACACTTTTCAATCAATCAATCAATCAAACGTGAAGTCATGTGACTGTGCTGTAGTTCCTTTATAGCCCAACATTAGCCTCCTTTAGCTTAGCGGGGGTGACGTGAAGTCATGTGACCGTGCTGTAGTTCCTTTATAGCCCAACATTAGCCACCTTTAGCTTAGCGGTGGTGACGTGTAGTCATGTGACCATGCTGTAGTTCCTTTATATCCCAACATTAGCCTCCTTTAGTTTAGCGGTGGTGATGTGAAGTCATGTGACCGTGCTGTAGTTCCTTTATATCCCAACATTAGCCACCTTTAGCTTAGCGGTGGTGACGTGTAGTCATGTGACCATGCTGTAGTTCCTTTATATCCCAACATTAGCCTCCTTTAGCTTAGCGGTGGTGATGTGAAGTCATGTGACCGTGCTGTAGTTCCTTTATAGCCCAGCATTAGCCACCTTTAGCTTAGCGGTGGTGACGTGAAGTCATGTGACTGTGCTGCAGTTCCTTTAGAGCCCAACATTAGCCTCCTTTAGCTTAGCGGTGGTGACGTGAAGTCATGTGACTGTGCTGTAGTTCCTTTATTGCCCAACATTAGCCGCCTTTAGCTTAGCGGTGGTCAGGGAGACGGGTCCAAAAAAGACATTTGAAATCCCTTCACCACCTTATAGACAAAAAAACACAACAAATATATTTAGAAAGTTGAGGTTCAACAGTATAAGAAGTCAAAGAAGTGACGACGCACACAAACTCTCCAAAAAGTCTCCTGGAGTGGAACTCTGGAGGTAATTAGGCGTAACAGCAAACGAAGAGGGCAGATAGGAAATGTGTTTTTCAGACAGCAAACTGCACCAATTACCTCAAAACAAATACCAACAGTAAATACTGAGTCGTGTTTCCTCCCGATGCTTGGGGGTGAAATCTGATTTCATTAGAGTTGTTGGTGAAATCCTCCCATCATGCATCACTGCAGAGGAAACAGACCAGGCCATTTGTGGGTTAAGAGACAATCAATCTGTGGTGATGGCCTCCCGTCAGACGAGGTCTTCTCTCCCATCATCCTCCCTAAAACTGCCCTAAAGAGGACGGATTCTGAACATCATGGAATAATCAGCATCCAGGCTGAGCATGAGTCAGCAGATATTCACTTTAGCTGCTTTCAAACCAAAGCTTCTTTATGTGAAGGAAAAGGCTCAGAGATCTGCATTTTGCTAAATACCTGGAATATAAATGTGATATCACTGGGAATGTAAGTACTTTAAACTCTGGTAATACTTTTGTTCTTTTAATTAAGTAATATTTCAATGTAAAGGAGTATTTTTACTGTGTAGTATTACTACATTTACTTCAGTAAGACCATTACATCCACAGAAACAGTTATTATTATTTGTATAACAATCCTACTTTAAGTAGACTGCTACCCATACTACAACTACAACTACTACTACGACTACTACTACTACTACTCCTACTACTACTAAGACTACTACTACAACTACAACTACTACTACGACTACTACTACTACTCCTACTACTACTAAGACTACTACGACGACTACTACTACTACGACTACTACTACTACTGCTACTACTACTACTACTACTGCTACTACGACTACTACCATTACTACTACTACTACTACTACTACTGCTACTACTACTACTACGACTACTACAACAACTACTACAACAACTAATATTTCTACTACAGCTACAGCTACTACTACTACTACTACTACTACGACTACTACTACTACTACTACTACAACAACTAATACTTCTACTACAGCTACAGCTACTACTACTTTAACTTGAGTAGAGTCTTGTACTTCTTGTACTGCCGAATGCAATCCACAGAAACAGTTATTATTGTCTTTGGTTTCTCATTGGCTTCATTTATTCCCAATCTCCCTCGTCAACATCAAGTCGATGCTGGGATCTTGTCATTTCAAACATTTCCAATCCATGAACCAACAAATGATGGTATATCTGACCCGACCTGAAGATTCTATCACATAGAGCTGAATAAAACCCCCTCAAATTCAAGCTAAGCCCAGCATCTACAGTCCTGTAGTGAACTAGATTCTGAATAACATCCGTCCTGTTTTTGTTCCACGGTCTCCGTCTCGAGTCCTGCTCTCTAATAACGTGAGTCTTTTGATCAATAGGGGTAATCCTCCTCTCAGACTGTAATCTGATGCTTCACCGGAGCAGCAAGGGCAGGACGAGCACTCTTTAAAGCCTGGGTAGCAGGGGAGGACTCTTTAAAGCCTGGGCAGCAGGGGAGGACTCTTTAAAGCCTGGGCAGCAGGGGAGGACTCTTTAAAGCTGTCAATGGTTTCTGCAGGAGTTTAAATGAAGTCTGTCCACACTGGGAAACGTGGGGGAGTCGACTCATCCCTCAGTGGACGACACGTATTGATCGGATAATGTGGCGTTGTAATTAATCGACATGGATATATGAAAGCCCCGTGGAGGATGCTTAAAAGGCTTTAATCTGCTTTTGGACTCACATAGTGTGCTAATTGGTGGAGATAAGATAGGATGAGATAGAAGTACTTTATTGATCTGAATTTAGGAAATGTTTGCGTTGCAGCATAAAAAGAAGGCATTGTACATTAGAGAAATGAAAAGACTACAAATAAACAATCCAAAATGTAAACATCGCAAATTTAAATAAAACAGCATTAAAATAGTAGAAAATATACATTTTGAAATACAAATTTACAGTAAGAAAATATAAAGCAGGATATTATAGGATGGATGACTTTATTTACAACATTGTGATTACGATCGGTGGATCTGACGACAGGTTATAATAATATTGTTTTTTCGGTTGTGTTGATGTCGATAATTCTTGGATTCTGAATCGAGGCTTTCTTTGAAGTCTAAGAACACTTTGGATGCTTTGGAGGCCATGTGAGATTCAGACATGCCAACACACTTGCCGGCGGGCGTGTCTGAAACTCGACCAACAACCAATCACATGAATCTCCCGCCCCGGACACACAAGCAGCGGTTTGATTGGCTAGAGCTCGTACTGGCAGATGATTTGATTGGCTGACGCTTCCCCTGAAGCTTCAAAAGTTGAACATTGCTCAACTTTTGAAGCGAGCAAAGCGAAGCAACGCTCCCACAATGCAGTTCGGTAAAGCGTGACGTTTAAAGTGAATGGGCAGAAGCGTTGAAGCTTCAACGCACGCCGCCGTGTGGACGGGCCGTGAGGGGTTTCCAATGGGCGCAGGTGCTTTTCAGAATAACAACATAGAGTTTAAACGGCGTGGAAACACAGCCTGGGACAGAGGGTCATGATGCTGTTTCTAAATGCAGGGACATCACTGCAGGACATCATCTACCTTTATCTCTGCAGACTACACACTACTACCCCAAGAACACGTGTTAAAGCTGCCTGCAGAGTCTCTACAGAGCTGTATGTCTGACATGTGGAAGGATCCTTCAGCTGATGAAATACGGTGTGCATTGATATCATTTACAGTATGAACATCACCCAGGCGCTCAGCTTCAAAGAGGATCGGATTTCTTCACAACATCCTGCTGTGTTTCGCCGCCAATAATCCTGTTACGCAATAGAGAGAAATCATGATTTGCTCTACTTCTCCTCCCCTTTCATTTCCTCACTTCCTTTTCATCTGCTTCTCTCCTCTACTCCCCCTTATTTGATGCAAAGGGAAACACATCACAAGGATCCTCCATATGTGACATAAAGATGTTCACTCGTTACACCTCAGATTAAGGCAGTTGTTGGTGTTTACATGTGACTGTGTTCATGCTGTGAGCCTCCGAAGGATGCTACAGCCCTGAGACGTTAATATGGTGTCTGTGCATTAGGGGTGGGCGGATCGATCCCAAAATATCGATACTTCCGATATTACGTTACGTTTCAAAATATCGATACTAGAGCCAATAGGATCGATACTTTTTTTCCCGTCTCCTCTACTCGTCAATTTCTTCAAAAAACGATGTGCAGACGAACACAAGTATATGCGCTCTTTTCTTCTCCTCTCCTCGAGGCTCGCGCAGCGCGCTCCCTGCCTGAACGCCGATTATCACGATGACTGACAGCAGCCAGCGACTCGCGAGTGCAACACACACACGTGCATGATGGCTGAGAGAAAGAGCAGCGTTGTGTGGAGCAATTTCACAACTGGCCATTAAAAGTTAGCGAACTGTGATGTGTGCAAGAAGACCGTTCGCTACTGGCCACTTTGTATTGTTATTGTTCATGTTTGCACTTTCAATTTGCAAAAGTAAAACGTTTATTTGTCTATAAAAACTGTCCTGTCTTTATTCATGAAAATGAATTCAGATGTAGTATTCATGCTTTCTGCTCGAAAATCATGTCATGCAGCTCTCCCCTATATGAAAGTACATAAGACATTTTTCATTTTAAAAAGTATCGGTATCGGCGATAATGTCCCTGAAATACTTGGTATCGGATCGAATCCAGATGTTGTGGTATCGCCCACCCCTACTACATGTGCTTTTTTTTAATGATGTGATCACATGACTCCTTCTGATGTTACTGCAGATCTGCTGTAAGCTAGCTAGCTAACGTAGCTAACCTATTCTTTCACACACAGTGACGTCACGAGCTACCCACAATGCAACACGCGCCATATAAATATATATAAATGCGCCATTTTCCTGGAGGTGCTGCTAATATCCTGGAAGTGCAAATATAAACAGCTAGCTAACTAGCCAGGTAGGTTTTTTTTCTGAATTAACGACCGAAGAAATCGCTGCATGTCTTCGGATCACATCTCTGGACTTGAGGGGTGTGCTTTAGGTCGTTACCAGCGTGAACTAGAGCTGTGTGGGTTGTTACAGACTGCCTGCAGATGTATGGAAAAACGACAGTGGCCTTCGTCGATTTTGGCTGCATCTACGTCTAATTTCTGGAAACACCAGGTGAATACCTGTTAGTGTATTCTAGAACCCTGAAGGCAGGAGAGACTGAAAAGAGTCAAGGGAAGCTTATACAAGTTAACAGCATTTAATTACACAAAAGATGCGGTGGTGTACAAAATGAAATGTGCGATTGGAGGCGCTCTCCTCATCCGACCGGTCAGTCCAGGTCAGCAGGTAGAAGGGGTCAATTCTTGGCTTGCTCTTCCTGTTGTCATCGGAGGTCTTCTCCTATTGGCCAGCGTCGTCGGGGGGCGGGTCCAATGCAATTTCTGCCTTTTTCTGTTGTTAAATTATATCATTCTGGTGTCTGTGGTTATTTAAACATTCCCTAATAAACGTTATTCAGCGGTAATAAATGAGTGCTAAACCCAGTGTGCTCAGTGGACAACATCACATGTCATTTCACCTTTGATTCACGGTTTTAAAATGCAGCATTTCGCCACATGCTAATGCTAACCGGAAGTGAATAATTTTCAGAATAAAAGTATTAAGTTAATAGTTAGTGAACTTCCGGTTTTTCAGAATAAAACTGATTTAAATTAAATAGTGTATTTAATTCAAATTACGCCATATCAACATTGATTTTAATTTCTAACAATCCCTCCTTACATACCCTTTAAGGTATGTAAATAATATTGAAATCAATTAGTTCTTCATCCGAACATTGCATGGTACATAACTCATACAAGTAAAACAAATACAAATAAGAATACATATTCATCATAAATATGAAGTTTTTCATTTGTACATAACTTCTAGCTTAAACCTTTAATGTCACTTTGTAAAATAGCAGTAATTAGCTTGGTATGGAAAACATCTAACTCCCTCCTTTCATTACATTACATTACATGTCACTTGTTAGACGCTTTTATCCAAAGCGACTTACATACTCAATACTGTGGACAATCCCCACAGGAGCAATTTGGGGTGAAGTGTCTTGCCCAGGGACACAACGACATGCTGACGGCAGTGGGGTTTTTCTTTCACATCATAAATAATCTTCTTACTGTATCTGGTGTAAAGGCACTTGTTCTTTTACAAAGTATAAGAAGGATCAAACTATCTGAAAATAGCTAAATATGACTCTTTATTTACTTTTACTGTGTCTCTGGTGTAATTTATGAATCTCTGCTGGTTCTAGTAGATATAGTTCTCCCCATCCACATTCTTGTTGGTTGTGGGACAGAGGAATAATAATTCAGAACCTGCTGATATTTGAATCTTACTACTGGGCATATGTTACAAACAAAAAACATCTTCATGGTGAACTAAATAAAATCCTTGTATCTAAATATAACAATGAACTATTCCTGTTTGTGGTAAAGACACACACTAACGTTATGTAATACAATTTCATTATGGATTCAAAAACAACTAAAGTCATGATGCTGTCAGAGTGAATGATTTCCTGAGTGTATCTGTCCTGTAAGGTACGTCATTCTCTGCTTGATTGTGTGCAGAAATCCCATCGATTGCACCTGGCAATACGGCTTCTACCTGTCTATTATCAAGCTGAATGAATACAGAATTCCAACATACTGTCATCAAATGTCTTTCTATTATGAATTTAAATTAAATGTATATCCCCATAATGAACTAAACAATAAAGTCTATGGCTTGTACTTCTAATTCTTTAACAGGCTAGTTACAATATGTTGTCTAAATTAAATTCGTTCTAATTACATTACTATGTTTTAGCTTAACTGTAATATGTTCTTTCTACATTTCAAACCTCAGTTACTCTAATGTCTGTTAAAATATTACAACATTGCCTAATTATCACAGGTCAACTTCTTCGGTATTCTATTCTGGAATTACATCTCTCACAGTAGCCCCTTGGCCACTGCTTCTGTGTTACCTGTTATAATTCAATCAATATTTAGAAACATCTCAACATTCATCAAACAGTATCTTATCCCCAGATATGGAGCAGGTTAATTATAAAACTATCATTAATGCTCAGTTAGAACATCTGGGTTGGGGCGGAAGGTTTCTGTCAATCCTTAAAAGAAACATTTAAATTGTGAATTTTACAGCCATGTTAACCTTTATACATTATACTCACACTCCCCCCTTTTTACACATGAACACATGTGTAACAAACCCCTGTAATGGGAGGGGAACAAAAACTGTCACGTAATTGGTTAGGGACATAACGAACATTATTTACAATTTGACATCCATTATCATTATTTCCACAGCGAACACTTCAGTGAAAAGGAGTGTTCCTCTCCGTCCTTCAGGCCTAAAAGAAACAGAATCTTCAGATGTTAGTTTTACATTTGCAAACCGCCAACTCATGTGAGAGGAAAATATCATCAAGTAGATTAGAAACGGGTCACATGTGCGGTTTCCCCTTTTTGTGGAATTTTTAGGAAACCTCTCGTTTCCCTTGGAGCTCCAAAATAATATGTTAGTCCAAAAACATGCTTGGTTGGTTATTGTTTTAGAATCATGCAGTTACACTGA